ACATAAAACAATTTAAACAGAACAAAAACAAATAACTAAAACATTATTTAACTATAGACAATGCTGAGCAGAGAGTCCCTAACTGCTGCTGAAGTGATGGGCTGCCACCAAAGAAGACCTGGTTTCCCTCTTCAGAAGTAGGTGGACTGCAGAGCCGTTGATCTGCCATCGTTCCACTGTACACCGCTTTGTCCACGATCGGGTTTGCAGGGCTGGCAGAATCGACGGCTGCCATGCTACTGAAATGATTTAAGTGTTACTACTAGAACATTTTAGGTTAACATCTGTTGCTGCCGTGTGTTTTACTTGCCTCAACAATAGTCATGGTCGTCTGGTGCCTCCTCCAGGGCAGAAACCTCTGCTGCCATCCCGTCCCTCCAGACAGCCCCACTTGCAGCTTCCTGGTCAGCCTCCMCCTCATCCTCAGGCTCGTTCTCTGGGGCAATGATGTCACCATCACCAAGGCAGATATTATGAAGGACGGCACATGCTGTTATGACCTGAAAATTTACAATTTATCACTGTAAACAACTGTCATAACTCTGATACAAAAAAAATTGGTACTACCGGTATATATTATAAGGTCTTACATGAGGGGCGAAGGTGTGATGTGCCTCCAGCGTTTGCAGGAAGATGGCTCTAAACCTGCTTTTCATCATCCCAAAGGCACACTCTATAATACAGCGTGCCTTGGAATGATACCTGTTGAAATGCTGGGCAGCCACACCTTGCACTGTCCTCTTGTACGGAGTGATGAGGGAGTGGTCGCTGCAAGAAGGGGTATCCTCCATCAACGAGGATGAAGTGCCCTGGAGGAGGGTAGGCTGACCTGTACATGGGGCTGTGGCGTAGCACCCTCACATCATGGACAGACCCAGGCCAGCCTACGAATGTATCGATGAAACGGCCCTGATGGTCACAAACTGCCTGCAGGATGATAGATGCTAACAGTTTCCTGTTTTTGTAGCCGTGACCATCAGGGCCGCCAGGTGGTTTGATCCTGACATGGCAGCTGTCCATTGATACAGCAATTTTCCTGAAAGCACGGTGTCTTGCTAACCCTGCAAACCCTTGATCCACAGCTTCCAGGTCCTCAGCTGTAGCTGGGAAGTGGATGACCTGGTGGCGAATGTCCACCACTTCCTTGGTCACTCTGTGGACAATACGGTGGACAGTGAAAGGAGGCATGTCAAAGGCCCTAGCGACCACCCTGTATGATGTCACACATGCCAACCAGAAGATGAAAACCAGGGTCTCAATGGTGACCCCCCATCCATGTCACCGCTCTCTGTTCAACTGGTTCATCAGTACTGCCAGGGCCTAATACTGTGATCTGATCTGTAAAGAAGAAATCCAAAAAAATAAATAAAATAAAATACATTGGAACATGCACACTTCAATAGAAGAAACAAATAAAACACACATTATCTATCTATCTATCTATCTATCTATCTATCTATCTATCTATCTATCTATCTATCTATCTATCTATCTATCTATCT